TATCCTCAGTTCCACAAAGAAATTCAGAAAAGAGGTTGGGACCTCTTCACAACATATGCTAGGAATGGGTGGAAGGAAATCACCCAAGAATTCTATGCCAATGCCATGAGGGTAAAAGGCGACACTCTCCCCTACAGACACAGCATGGTGAGGGGTAAGGAAATTGATTTCACTCCTACCGATATCCAGAGGATCTTGAATATCCCAGCTGTGAAGAGGGCAGCTAACTAGTTAGACTTCACCACTTTTAGTTATTTGGAGTCGAAGAATTACAAGCCAATCCTTCAAGCAATTTGCAAGGAAGGTGAAAACTGGGAGTTTGACATGAAACTCTAGCCCAAGAACTTGACCACTAGGCACCTCCTTCCAGCAGCCAAGGTTTGGAGCATCTTCATCCTCAGTTTCTTCATGCATGTCATCCACTCTTCCACCCTTGTAGTGAAGAGGGCAGAGCTGATATATGCCATCCATGTTGGTGATATATGCCTACATCTAGTAGACGACCTACTGATTGAGGATGACTTTATGGAATGGATTTTAGCTCTAGCGACCTTCTATCTTTAGGCTTACGAACTACCCAAGGTAAGAATGCATGTCTTAAATCATTAGGATAGAATTATAGGAATCGTGATAGAACACTGTGGGAACATATTCTTTTATTATCTCGCTACATTTTTTTATTACTCTTTTGTGAGTTGCAGAAATTATTAATATTATATTATTCATTTTATGCGCGGTGCTACTCAAAATCACAAATTTCATTGTTTAGATCACTTTTCTAAATTTATTTTTATTTTATTTTTGATATTTTTTATTTAAATTTTTATTTTATTTTTTATTTAGGACAGAAAAAAATTACAAAAAAAATATAATTTTTTAAAAAAATCTTTAAAATAGAAAATAGCGCAATTAGGTTGACTTTGACTTTGTCGGTCCTGTTGACTTTGATCGATCTGCTTCTTGGTGCATGACTAGAACTAATTCTGGTCAATTACTCATATTTGATCTTGATATTGAAAGCACTCAGAACAAGTTGAATAGACTTAAATTGGAAGGTAGTGTGCATAATCATTGTAGTGATACTCTTGGTACCCTTAATAGTGTTGGCGTGCACTCTAATTGTGAGCATTCTAACTGTGATCATTCTGATAGCATATCTTTGCATTCTGATATTATGGCTAATAATCAACACTAAAGAAATCTTAAAGAATTGGCTGCACCAGATGTCACATACCAACCCTTAGGCATCCAATATCCTGATGTAGATGCTCCATTTGAGTTAAAATCTAGTCTAATCTATTTGTTGCCTAAGTTTAATGGTAGTGCAGGTGAGGACCCTCATAAGCATCTTAAGGAGTTTCACATAGTCTGCTCAACAATGAGGCCTCAAGGTGTTTCAGAAGACCACATCAAGTTGAAGGCCTTTCCATTCTCTTTAGATGGTGCAACAAAAGATTGGTTATATTACCTATAGCTAGGGTCTGTCACTTGCTGGATAGACATTAAAAGGATGTTCCTAGAGAAGTTCTTCCCTGCTTCCAGAGCAGCCACAATAAGGAAAGAGATTAGTGGCATCAGATAGTTCAACCAAGAAAGCCTTTATGAGTAATGGGAGAGATTCAAGAAACTATGCTAAATTACTTGAACTCATATGACAAGTTTTTGTTGGTTATGTGATTAATTCAATGTGATTGTCATGATGATTGAATGGATTAATAACTTGATTGACAATGAGAAATCAGAAAACAGAAAATTTTTGAAAAAAAGTCAGCTTTGTTGCTTGATTTCAATTAGTGGATGAATTTTCCCCTTATATGATTTGATTTGCTTGAGGACAAGCAAAATTCTAAGTTTGGGGTGGTGATAAATCCACATTTTATCATAATTTTTAGTATAGTTTTGTTAATAAATAAGTAGTAAAATGCTAAGTAAACTTGGAAATATCATAAAAATTGCATCAATATTCATAATTGTGTAATTAGTTTTAATTTTTAGTTTTTTAGTCCAATTTTGAATAATTTGACTTAAAATGACTTGATCCTTGTGCAGAAGCTTGAGCTAAGAATTTGAGTTGAAGAATTGAAGTGAAGAAAGTAGAGGAATTGAGCTTAAAAGATGAAGAATCAAGTGTTATATGTATGGCGTAATCACTCTGAGTACATAGAGTGAACACTTTGAAGAGGAAAATTCATGAAGATCAAGAGTAGTTATTTCAAGTGTTCAGAGTAGCTACGCAGTTAGCGCGTAGCCACTTCAAGTGGGTAAAGTAGCTACGCCCAAGGCCAATTTAGAATGCGTGAAACCTTGCTGGATTTTTATTTCAGTTTAGTGGGACTTTGCTTGAAAATAATTGATTTGGGCATGATTTCTTTGTTGAATGAATCCATGATTTTGGAAACATTGGAAGTGTCAATTAGAGTCTGATCTTCGAATGAAAATTTTGAAAGAAATTTTTTGAATAAATCCAACCCTCTTACAAGTAACTTTATTGAATTTTGATTTGCTTAAGGACAAGCAAAAGTTTACGTTTGGGGTTAGGATGAATCCACATTTTATTGGATTTTTACTTTTCATTTTGATGTTTCATAATAGAAAAAGTAAACTTAGGAAGTGTAAATAACATAAAAACAGGTTTCTTAATTTTTGGTTAATTTACATTGATTTACATAGATATAGTTTGCAATTTTGATCATTTGAATAATTGTGCAGGAATTTCTAGACTTTTTCCATGGATTTTTAGCATTTGAGAAAGTTTGAGATGAAAGTGATCACTTTGGATCCCATAATGAACACTACAGCAAGCTAGATCCAGAAGAGCAGACCAAAGTGATCACTATGAAACCATAGTAGACACTACGAAGACCAAGTTTGAAGAAGTGCTGCGCGTGCTTATTATGGAACCATAGTAGACACTCTGGAGTAGGCAAAGTAATCACTCTGATACCAAAGTGAACACTCCAAAAAGGCCAAAAGCACATGACTTGCACATAGATAGTATGGAACCATAGTAGACACTGTGGAGCAGCCAAAGTAATCACTTTGATACCAAAGTGAACACTCCAGAGAGGCCAAAATCACAAGACTTGCGTGTGGCTACTATGGAGCAATAGTAACTACTATGAAGGACTGCGCGTTATCATTATGAAACCATAGTAGTTACTATAGGCAGAAATTTCTGGACTATAAATAGAATTTGAGAAATTAGGGTACGAAGCTTTTTACACATTTTTAGATTGTTTGCCATTTGAGGGAGCACTTGCAGAGCTTAGGATCCTTGGGTGACAGTCAGGGCCAATCTTAGGGTTTGATTTACAATTTCTCTTCATTTTCCTTTAATTCTTGCATTGATGATATTGAATTTCCTTTGTTTTTATCTTGAATTTGTAAGACTCATCCTTATAGAGGGGTAAACTTTCTTGTAATCCTTAGTGAGTTCATGGATTCTTGAATTCCTCGGTATAAATGTCAATATAATTCCCTTTCATGAATTTATATTTCCCAACTCTTTGAATTGAATTAATGGTTGAATGAGGGGGACATTGCTTAATTAACCCTAATTCATTTTAATGAAATTCTTAACTTGGTTTGCTTAATCCTAAGTTAATTTCTAAGGTTGCGTAATCTTGGAGAAAAGAGTTGGAGCCCACGTAATTTGCTTAAATTCGTATGGGGTTTTAAGGTTAATTCTCGCTTTTTGAGTTACCTTAATTCAGAGGAAGAGGAAAAATATTGAATCTTGAGAGGAATAGGAATAGAATCATATGAACAAACTAAGGATTACTATGTTTCATTGATTGAACTCATTAATTTCATCACTTGCCTTTACATTAAAATTGGAATCACACAAAACTCCCTTTTAATTACTTTCATAGCAAATGCTTACAACATGTTCAATGTATGTTACCAACCAAAGTCATTGGAGACAACCTAGGCTTGCATCCTAAACTACATAAAAATTCTACATATTTTAATGAGATTGGCAATAAATCTTTTTACAAACAAAAATCGTGTCATCAATCAATCCAGCTTTTTGCAAGCATAGAATTCTGTTTGAAGAGCATGTACAGCCACAAAGAAGACTAAATCCAGCCATGAAAGAAGTAGTGAGAAAAGAAGTAATGAAGCTGCTGGATGTAGGAATTATTTACCCAATTTCGAATAGCCAATGGGTTAGTCCAGTTCAAGTTGTCCCTAAAAAAGGAGGGATGACCGTTGTGCCTAATGAAAAGAATGAATTAATTCCTACTAAGATTGTCACGGGTTAGCGCATGTGTATCGACTATAGAAAATTAAATAATGCAACTAGAAAAGATCACTTTCCATTACCATTTGCAGATCAAATGTTGGTAAGACTAGCTGGACATGCATTTTATTATTTTCAATCATTATTTTCAATCTCAAATTGTCCAAGTTGGATAGTTTGTGAACAAACTTATTCATTATCTTCTTAGCATTTGCTTCTCATAATGTTGTATTTAATACTTAACAAAATTTGAGTTTGAAGCATTTCTCATTGTCCCTTGGTGCATGCTTGATTGAGGTAAATCATCTCATATATTTCAAGTTGTGTACTAGGAGACTAATGCAAAATGCTGCCCAAATTTTGTCAAGTAAAAAATACAACATTTAAGTAGCATTTGTTAATTAAGGTTGGAAAAAGTTTGTTCTCAAATGGGATAGGGCTCTACCATGTGAGAGTTAATAAGACATTCATATTTATAATGATTGCAACTGTAGTTGGAGCAAATATGGATCAAAGTTGGATGGTAGCTGATCGTCTAAGTGAAGAATACGAAGACAGAGTCAAAGAGTTTATTAGATTTGCAATTAAGAATGCAACTGATATCAACCTTATTCCCTGCCCTTGTTGGTGTTGTTTGAATATGTTACAAGTAAATGCAGAAGAATTGGAAGAACATCTAATGTGCAATGGGATAGATGAAAAATATGCTTGTTGGACAAAGCACGGTGAGATACAAGGTTGAAGTACATCAACTAACATGGAATCAAGTGTCAATTACTTAGAGACATTTAGAACAAATGAGAGTGATCATGCTGAACAAATTTCAAATGTTATTGAAGAAAATCTTAGAGATTGTCCAAAGATGTTTGAGAGGCTTAAAGATGATGCAGAAACACCATTGTATAATGGATGTACAAACTTCTCAAGATTGAGTTCTGTTTTAAAGCTTTATAACTTAAAAGCCTCGAATGGATGGACTAATAAGAGCTTCACAAGGCTGCTAAGTTTATTACATGAGATGCTGCTGGAGGATAATGTGCTACCGCAGAGAACATATGAGGCTAAACAAGTACTTGCCTCCATTGGATTGACCCATGAAAAGATACTTGCTTGTCCTAATGACTGCATTTTGTTCCGAAATGAGTATGGATCACTAAGGAAATGTCCAAAGTGTAATGTATCACGATACCTAAAGAAAGACACAACACCTACGAAGGTCATATGGTATTTTCCACTAATATCGAGGTTAAGACGTCTTTTTCGCAGTGCAGAAAATGCAAAGCAGATGACTTGGCATGCTGAAGGCCGAATTAGAGATGGAAAGCTAAGGCATCCAGCAGATTCTCCGCAGTGGAAAAAATTTAATGATGACCATGAAGAGTTTGCAACTGAAACAAGGAATATACGTTTTGCATTAGCAACCAATGGAATGAATCCACATGGCATGCAAAGTAGCACCCATAGTACATAGCCCATGATCTTAATAATGTATAACCTACCTCCATGGCTTTGTATGAAGCGAAAATATATAATGCTTTCTTTGTTAATCTCTGGTCCTAAACAACCTGGAAATGACATTGATGTGTACTTGTCTCCTTTAATTGAAGATTTGAAGTTGTTGTGGGATAATGGCATAGAAGTATATGACGGATATAGAGATGAAAATTTCACAGTGAAGGCAATGTTGTATGGAACAATTAATGACTTTCCTACATATGGAAATCTTTCTGGTTACAGCATCAAAGGTCAATGTGCATGTCCAATATGTCAGGAAAAAATAGATTATGTAAGACTAGACCATTGTCACAAAAATGTTTTCATGGGACATCGTAAGTGGTTGTCAAAAAAGCATCATTTCAGAAAAATGAAAAAAGCTTTTAATGGAAGTTTTGAAGAACGATGATGTCCTTATTTGAAGAGTGGAGAAGAAATATTTGATGAGGTTAAACATATAAGAACAACATTTGGAAAACTTTTTCCCAAACAAATTCCAACCGCAATTTGGAAGAAGATGTCAATTTTCTTTCAGTTACCGTACTGGAAATCTTTATACGTAAGACACTTTGTTGATGTTATGCATGTTGAAAAAAATGTTTGTGAAAGTGTGATTGGTACATTATTAAACATTGTGGGAAAAAATAAAGTTGGCATCAATGCAAGACTTGACTTGGTGAAGTTGGGAATACGATCCGATTTGGCTCCAGTGAAGAAGGGAAATCAGACCTTTTTACCGCCAACAGCATATACCCTGTCTAGATATGAGAAACGTGCTTTATGTGAGACTCTTTATTCAGTTAAGGTTCCAGAGGGGTATTCATCAAACATTAATAGTCTTGTATCACTTAAGGACCTAAAGTTAAAAGGATTGAAGTCTCATGATTTCCATATATTAATAGAAAATTTAATTTATGTTGCTATACGGTCTATTCTACCCAAGAAATTTCGCATGGCAATCACGAAGTTGTGTTTCTTTTTCAAGGCAATATGTAGCAAATTGATTGATCCTGAGAGACTACCATGTTTGTAAAACCAAATAGTTGAAACTTTATGTGAGCTGGAAATGTATTTTTTACCGTCATTCTTTGATATCATGGTTTATTTGACTATTCACTTGGTGGAAGAGACAAAATTGTGCGGCCCTGCATATATGCAATGGATGTATCCCGTTGAAAGATATATGAAGATTTTAAAAGGGTATGTTAAGAATAAAAGCAGACCAGAGGGTTGTATTGCTAAACGATATTTAGTGGAAGAAGCAGTGGAATTTTGCAATGAATATCTGTCAAATGTTGAATCATGTGGCATTCCAAAATCACGTCACACAGGAAGGACTTTAGGGGAAGGTAGCAGTGGTTGTCAACAAATAGAGGTTCCTAGACTGCAATGGGAACAAGCACACTTGTATGTATTACAAAACACCCTTGAAATTGAACCATATATAAGCTTGCACAAAGAGACACTGAAGCATAGAAATCCTTCTAGAGGTGAGAATTGGATAACAAAAGAACATAACCAGCGATTCATTGAATGACTACAAGAACATGTTGGTGACCAGTTGAAACAGAATAACAATTCAATGTCAGAAATGATTTGTCAAAAGGTCCTTGTATTGATGCCTTTTCATACAGTTCGTACTTAGTCAATGGTTTCACATTTTACACAAAATAGAATGACGACTAAAGCACAATGCAGAATAGTGGGGTCACTCTGGTAGCTGAATCATTGCATATCTCTAGTGTAAAGGATAAAAATCCAATATATGCAAATATGTCATACTTTGGAGTCATTGAACATATATGGGAGTTGGATTACACTAACTTTCGTGTAGCAATCTTTGGATGCAAGTGGGTAGAAAACAACAGTGGTGTTCGAATTGACGATATGTGCTTTATAAGGGTCGATTTTAAAAAGGTCAGTTACCAAGATGATTCGTTTATCCTTGCATCACAGGCTCGACAAGTGTTCTACATCGTAGATCCTGTTGACAAGTCATGGTCAATTGTCCTAATGTCTAATAAAATAAATGCTTTCACCGATGGAGAATTAACAAAAGAAGAAGTTAATGTGGAGGACGATCCTTTGAGAAGTGTTGAACACAATGTCAATTGCTGATACATTAACAAATGACGAGGATATTTATGCAAGACATGATCATGAAGAGGGTATTTGGTTGAATCTGTCATTTCATTCAATAAAAGGTCATAGGAAAATTAGTAAGGCTCCTAAAAAAGGAAAAAGATGTATTTCATATTAATTTTGAATTGATTATAATTTGTTTTTATGATTTTACTTTATCCCTGAATGTAATTATTTAATGTTAACCTTTACCTTTTGTCTTACAGAGATGACTTCTTCAGATAACATGGATGGGAGTCCCCCTCATCACTCCGCTAAGGCAAATCAGAAAAAGGGTAGAGGGATTACCAAACTTAAGTCCATTAGCAAATCAAGAAAGTTAGGACAAAAGTTACAGGTAAATTGTCACCATCAATGAATTTTGCAATGATATTCAATGATTAATTATGCTAATATTAGTAACACTAAAATGTCTTTATGATTTATATTTGCATATAGGTTGGCTGGAATGGAAAAGGTCAACCGATAGACCCTAACAGATCAAAATTTGCACATTTCATTAGCTTTGTTACTAGGAGTACAGTGCCAATTAGTTATTCTAATTGGACAAATGTCCCTACTAATGTTAAAGAACACATTTGGGAGCAAGTTGAGGTACACAATCATAATTGTTTTAGTTATTTTATATTGGTTTACCTAAGAGGGTTTATCTGATATGTTTTTTCTTTCCAATGTAGAAAACTTTTGAAGTGGATGCTGTTCACAAAGATTTTGTTCTTTCTTTAGCTGGACGGGGCCTTCGTGCATTCTGGACACGTTTGAGGAAACATATCTATGACAAAGATGGAAATTGTGTGCCCCATCCTCCGGAGAAGTATCAAAGATTCATCACAGTCACTGATCACTGAATGGACTTTGTCAACCAAAGCTGCACAGAAACTTTCAAGGTACCATGTCACACATTATTATATCAAATTACTGTCACCATTGTAGAAAGGGTATTGATTTGATACATTTCTGAATGCCTTATTTCAGAAAGAAAGTGAGGCTAATGCACAAAGGGCAAAAGCAATGTCGTACAGATACAGGAGGTCAGCTAAGGGATATGCTCAGTTGGAACAAGAGTTGGTATGTAAATTTGTGTCTTATGTAACAATGTGATGCTAATGTGTTGTCTTATGTTAAACCTATTAACGAGGGCATTTAATTATTAATTTTGTGTAGATTGCTACATCTGTGTCTAATTTGACCTCAGTACCTTGACATGTCCTTTGGAAAGCTACTAGGGTAAATAAACAAGGTAGCATTGATGACGAAGGAGTTAAAAAAATGGTCAATGAATCTGTAAGTACTTAATACTAATGTGTTAGTATTTTCAAATACGTTAAGTTTTATTTTGAATTCTCTTTCCTAATGGTTTTTTGTTATGTTTATTGTAGAAAACCCTTTCACAGGTCATTCCAGACGCTGAGACTGAATCAACAGCCTGAAATGACATACTCTCTCAAGCACTTGGTGTAAGAGAGCATCCAGGTCGCGTGAGGGCTGTAGGTTTTGGGGTGACCCAAAAATCTGCATTTAGGCCAGCTACATGTCCACATCCTTCATCTACTGAGTGACAAAACATGAAGCATTGGGTAGCGTATTGGACCAATGTAGCCCAGGGACTACCCCCATTCATGTCAGGTCAGATGCCATTCAACCCCACTCATTCCCCACCACCATGTATGCCACCCCCTTTCAATATTGCTCCTCAAATGCAACCGATGCCGGATATTGGTCCCTAAACGCCTGTAGATGCACCTTATACCAGCCATAGAGGCAGTTGCACACCAATTGCATTTGTTGAGATTCCAGAGGTATTTAAACTACAGTAAATCATCACTTACCTTTAATGTTTATTGCTTTTGATTTAATTTTTGCGTAATATAACAAACTTTCATTTGTAGGGTGATCATGACTGTATGCTATACTTGAACAAACCTTTTTGCCTGGTTGCAAGAGGTAGAGTATATCATACAGTGGCTGGGGACTCCTTACATAATATGGCTCTTCCTCCAGAGCATGGTAAGGTTTCTATAGAGGTAGTGCAATGACATGAGGACGACTTTGCACTGCCTGTCCCAAATGAACAAGCAAACCTGTATTTCCTGAGAGATGCCATTAGTACTTATGTTGCTTGGCTATTGTCCCTAATCACTTTAAGACCCAAGGTATGTAAACGTGTTTCTTTATAGTTCCTGTTACTAGATGTTACAATTAAAAAGTTTGTTCTTTTTAGGTTGCTCCTTCATCAGGTAAAGGGTTAAGAAAAGAGACAGGGTACTCAAAAGAGTCCATTGCTGGTCCATCCAATAAAGGTAGCACTGGTTGTGTGTCATCAGAGATTATGAAGTTGGCAGAAGCCCAAGGTGTTGCATGCTTGGATATGATGAAGCTATTTGTGAGAAGTGATTAAGCCATTGATACAACTACAATTCAACTGACAAGTGAGCACTAGGGTAAAGAGTTTTGTGACATTGTGGGGAAGGAAAACATAATAGAGGTCATACATCGACATTGGTTGAGTGCCTCTAGCATTAACCTTTACATACGGTACATTAATTTTCAAATTATATAATTCATAGTCAATTTATAGCTTTTATAACCTTTATTTAATAATGTTGAATTCTACTTTTACAAAACAAGATATTTGTGTAAAGCTTATTTGCATGGGACAATGGCAAATAGATTCTCATTTATATCTCCGTATGAAATAGACGAAGCGCTCAATCTGAACCCACATCAACATATAGCTGAAATGTTGAAGTGTCATACGGGTGAAGATCACTTGATATTTGCACCTTATAATGTTGGGTAAGTCAATCTCAGTGAGACTCTGCTTTATGTTTTATAATTTAGCATATAACTTTTAAACTTAGTAATCTTAAAATGATATTTATACTCGTGGTAGGCAACATTGGGTCTTGGTTGCCATCAATACTGCTGACGAGACTATCTATTATATGGACCCTCTATGCAAGCAGCTGAAGATGAGAACACACACGCAGAACCTATTTAATAAGTAAGCATTCATTTATGTCAACCAACTGTGATTAATGTTAAGTGGTTCAAATGTATCTAATTTCTTTGGTTCATGACTCTTAGTGCTCTTGTCACGTATCGAGCAGAGAGGGGAGTGCAGCCCTCTAGTACAAAGATGAGTCAAACAAAATGGGTCACTATACAGGTAAGACTATATCATATCTCATGTTTTTAATTTTCACCTAAAGTGTAATTGCACTGTTTATCATTCTTAGTTAATGCTATTTTATTTGATTTTTATCTTCCACACAGTGTCCCAAGCAAACAAATAATGATGACTGTGGATATTATGTGTGTCTATTCATTGAGGATGCTTTGCACCATGGACAAACTGTAATCCCAGTAAATATAATAATCTTACACATTCCAATTTTTTTTTTCCATATGCTTATTATTTCACTTAATTAATTAAGCTTTGTTTTCCCTGTCCTTGTATTTCAGTACTTTCCAGAGGTGCAGATGCCAACATTTCCTAACAACAAAATTTGTCAATTGCAAAAGGAGTGGTGTTCATATCTGTACCATAGATATTTAAAGGACATATTAAGCACAATAGATTATTAGTGTTCTTTTACAATATTTAGATAATTTTTTGTAAAGGCTACGCAAAATGTGTAAATATGACTCTAATTGATTGTAATCTGTACATGTGAGTTGTAATTGAATAGTACAATGTGCAATTGCTCTGAAATTCTGGTATATCAGGCTCTGTTTGAATTTTATATTTTGTTTGAATTGGTTTTGAATACTGTATAATTTACCAGGTGTGCTAAAAAAGATTTTATGCCAGTTTTATTAAAATATTTAAAAATGTTTCTTAACTTTGGAGAGCGGTTAAATGGGAACCGCTCTCCAAAATGTACTTCT